ATTTCAACTTATCAATGCAAACAATAGACAGATAAATATTAACAACAAAGTACAGGAACAAATCAATAGTATTACCACCACTGTCAACCAAATTCTGAGGTCGGCTAAAAAATCCCAAGTTGATACGGGACACCTATACGAGATGTTATTATCTCGGAATAGGATGATTGCGATGGAGCTGCAGAATTTATTGCTAGCAATAGCTCTTGCCAAAATCAATATAGTTAGCCCCAGCATATTAGATCATGCAGACCTGGAAAGTGTGTGGATCGAGGAGCCCACAGATACCCCCATTAGAGATATACTGTCCGTTGCGTCTGTCAAAATATTACAATCCGTTAACATTTTACATTTTATTATTAAATTTCCAAAAATTAAGTCAGCATGTGTCAAGATCACAGTTTTTCCCGTGTCACACCATGACACAGTACTCAGGCTGGAGGACAAGGTCATAGCAGATTGCAACGGAGAGATTCACACAGTCAAAAACTGCTCCGTGTCACCTGGAGCCACATTTTGTCAACTGGCGCTGAGAAGATCATGCGCCCAAGAACTCCACGCTGGGGGTATTGCGCACTGCGATATCCAGCATAGCGATTTGCACCCCATCACCCACGTAGATGAAGGCATTATCATCATAAACGATCGCCCAGCTCGTGTGAGGGTGGACAACGGCACTTACGTCCACTTACGAGGAACTCACCTCATCACCTTCATTGAGAGTGCCATGGTTAACGAAACCCGTTACGTCAATCACGACGTGGCCCGGAAAAGGGTACCAGGAGTGGCTAGCTCGCCTTCCCTGAACATCACTCTGGAGCACAACATTCTCAGCCTTCCATACCTTCACCGCTTGAGTGAACGTAACTTGGAACATATTAAGCAATTCGGGGAAGATATCAACGGCTATCGTTCACACCAGATAATGCTAATCGCAGGAGCGATCTGCTGCGCGTTGATCTGCGTCGGTCTCACTTATCGGCGAGTCACCCAGGCCAGGAGATCCACGGCCCAACTAAGGCAGGTGATTGCCCAAATAGGGTCGGCCGAGGGCGGCCTTAATTCTGAGGGGGGAGTAGTTAACTAAGTTAACCGGGCGACGGCAATGACCGATCGTCCGAAGGCTCGCTCCGGCCAAATTGCTGACACAGCGTCTGGCCGGAAGCTCGTGCATAGCCGGCAAAGACTACCCATTGGAGTGGCCGCTATGAGTCTCTTTTTTGTTAGCTTTAAGTTTCAGTTTAGATTTGACTTTATATGAATAAAGAGCTGTCGCTCATACAAATTATACTCCGACAACCGTCGTTAAATTCTTATTATTGAAAAACTGTCTGAGTCCCTAGGCCAGCAGGTAAAGAAGGGCAGTCACCCTTCCAACATAATCTTCGTAATTCATCTTGGAGAATTCTACGGCCAGCCGGCCAACCACCACAGCGACGAACCTTGCCACCCGCACCCCCCCTGGATAAGCTGCAACTGCGAGGGACGACCCGTGGGATAAATAATTAATTAATTTACATATGTTTAAAAACAACTCATTGCGTCTTATGCCCTCTTCCCACAGAGCTCCATCCACCATCCGTTGAACGGATGGTCCACGGATTTGCCGTTCCGAAAATTCCCAGTTAGTTCCCCATCCAAATTTGACGGACTTTTTTATGCGATAGTTAGGCGATGTTTTTTTGGTGCAACTCTGAGTTCTTCTTCTTGACAGTGGAAATTGGAACATTCACTACGAAAATTAAAAAAATAATGGCGGGTAACTTTTGAACAGGACGGCGCCAATTCAAACAAGAGAGAACGCTATAGTCGAGTGCCTCGACTATTAGATACCCGTTACTCAACTAAACAACTTAATATAAATATGCCTTCTTGTATGTTTTGACTCAGACCTCCAATTTGGCTAACTTGATTTGATTTGCATAGTTCTTGGGATATAGTTCGGTATTGACAAATGAAAACCATCGCAATTTCCTTTAATAGAAATCCTTATCGAGAATTAACGTTGACTCTTTTGAGCACCTTGGGCAGTTTTCCAAAAATCATCCGTTAGATGGCGCCATGAAAGGCGGAAATGTAGGCGCTAGCCAGGCTTAAGCGTTTAATGGGTTTTTGGGCGTTAGAGTGGGCGTGGCAAACTTTTTTTTAGGCCAATCGATATTTATTGTCGAAACAAATATATATCAATTACAATTTGCATAATATCATCAAAACTGGGGCCACCCTTGGGGGGGGGGGGGGGGGGAGGGGGGGGGAGCACCATTTTGAAACAAACTTGCGCTGCGTAGGAACTCCTAAAATCTACATGCAAAATGCCAATCTTCTAGCTTTTATAGTTTCCGGGATCTCATCGTTCATACGGACAGACAGACGGACAGACGGACAGACGGACATGGCTATATCGACTCGGCTAGTGATCCTGAACAAGAATATATATACTTTATAGGGTCGGAAACGCTTCCTTCTACCTGTTACATACTTTTGCACGAATACAATATACCCTTTTACTCTACGAGTAACGGGTATAACAACGTGCAGTACCGAAGTCGATGTAAGTAAACAATTTTAATGTTTTACATTTTATTAATTACTTTTCATTACATTTCAGATGAATCCTTATTTCCCCAATAACTTACCCTTACCCTTACCCTTTCCCTTACCCTTCCCAATATCCATTACCATACCCTTCCCCATATCCTTGCCAATACCCTACTCATTACCCACCCCAAGTGGCTCACCCCAATCATTACCCTGCCCCTACCCAACAATGGAGGGGCAGAGGCAGGAGAACGAGGAGGCAGCAGCGTCCAAAAAAGCGAACGATGCGGCACCTAGAGCAGCGGCACCTAGAGCAGCGGCGGTGGCGGCAGCGGCGAAGGCCATTACCGCAGCAATACTAAAGTCGCCACCGGTGCCACCGACGTTAGCACCCCCCCACGAGGAGCCTGTACAACTTGCGACCTCGGTTCAAAAATAATAAAAATTGTTATAATATGAGGCTGCCATATTAAAGTCACCGACGTCACCGACGCGACCGATTCCAGCACCCCCGCCCTGGCCTCGAAAATAACAATAACAATTAAAAACAAGAGAGAACGCTATAGTCGAGTGCCCCGACTATCAGATACCCGTTACTCAGGTAAAGGGAGTGCGAGGGAGATGGAGACAGAAACTTTGATCACGCATAACTTTTTAACGAATGGTCCGATTTGAAAAATTTCTTCTACATTTCGATAGGTATTGATAAACACAATAAAACTGCATTTTTACTTTTCCGAAATATTTAAATTTTTAAAATCGTATATAAGCTATTGTGGGCGTTAAAGAGGGCGTGGCACCTTTTTGAAACAAACTTGCGCTGCGTAGGAACTCCTAGAATCTGCATGCAAAATGCCAATCTTCTAGCTTTTATAGTTTCCGAGATCTCAGCGTTCATACGGACAGACAGACAGACAGACAGACAGACGGACAGACAGACGGACAGACGGACAGACGGACAGACGGACAGACGGACAGACGGACAGACGGACATGGCTATATCGACTCGGCTAGTGACCCTGATGAAGAATATATATACTTTATAGGGTCGGAAACGCTTCCTTCTAGCTGTTACATACTTTTGCACGAATACAATATACCCTTTTACTCTACGAGTAACGGGTATAAAAATGCAGTTTATACTTGCAATAATTAATTAATTAATGCTCCATCCGTGTGGCAGCATTAGGTGTTGCTTCACTCTTTCCTAGGCGCATACCTTACTCACAACATTGAGCAGAACATTTAAAATGAAATAAAATATGAAATTTTAATAAAACAAAAAACAAACATTTATATATAATGAACTTGATTTGTTACCATTTAGACAATATTGGGCAATAACTGTTCATATTTTGTCTGCAGGCTGGCAAAAATCGGCAGACGTATTAGTTCGATTTGATTGTTTGCGTAGATCACTTGCAGTCTGTTACCAAGTATCATTTATAACGCTGAGCTCATTTTAAATGTTGTGCAAAATGCAACGGTCTAAACTAATGAGCCACAGCTGTTCAGATCAGCTGTTATCGGATGGTGGATGTGCTCTGTGGGAATCGGAGTTTCACATTTGTCAAAAATCCCAACCGTTTCAGACGGATGGACTCTATGGGAAGAGGGCATTAGTTCCCCATCCAAATTTGACGGACTTTTTATGCGATAGTTAGTCGATGTTTTTCGGCGGAACTCTGATTTCTTCTTCTTGACAGTAAAAATTGTAACATTCACTACAAGATTAAAAAAAAAATTTTTTTTTAAAAAGGAAGACGTCTAATCAATAAATGCTGTTTATACTTGTACTGCTTACTGCTCCACCCGTTTAACAGCCTTAAAAGTTGATCCCCTCTTTCCTAGGCGCAAAGCACTTCTCAGAAAGAGAGTTTGCCCCCAAGATTTGGGGATTTTGTGGTTTACAATAAACTAATAAAATGTAAATCGGTCAAAATGATTAATTTTCATGTTAAAAATACAGAAGTTATAATTTAATTTCCTTTTTTCCCCGATTGTTTCAATTAGCCTTATGATGATGAGTAGGCCGATCCTGACTGTATATAAATACCTGCAAATAGCTTTAAAACTGAAGGACTTGTTTGGAAAGAAACAGACTAGATTGGCTAGATTGTTGATCTGATGAAGAATATGTATACTTTATAGGTTCGGAAATGTGCCCATCACTGCACTGAATACTTTTGAATAAAATTAGAATACTGGAAATTGGAATTGGTACTTTTTGATAGTGTCAAAGAATAACATCAAATCTACGGCATCTAAATGATAGTAAAAATGTAAGCAAAAGCAACTGTGAGTATCAACAATCGCATACAACAATTTTTTTAGCTGTTCTTTCTGTCTTAAAGGAATATTTATACATGTGTTCCTGGCTTTACAGTTTGGCAGAAGGGCCAGCTTCGTCAAGAAAAATATCCGTAGCCAACAGGTATATATTTTCCGGATGGCACGCATACCCGGCGAAATCCTTCACGCCCACGTCTCGCAGTACCTCGTCGTCCACAAAGAACTGGCCCGTGTATTCCTTGGAGTCACGGCAGAATATAGCGTAGGCCGCGTCGGCCATTATCTCGGGCTTCCGAGAGTACAATGCACCTTCTGATCCGCTGAGCATTTCGACGGCTGCGGTGTGAATCGTGGTGCGGGGCCAGAGGGCGTTTACGGCCACGCCCTGGGCACGGAATTCCTCCGCCATGCCCAGAACGCACATGGACATGCCGTATTTGGCGATGGTGTAGGCGGTATGGTTGGCGAACCACTTGGGACTCAAGTTCAGTGGGGGGGCAAGGTTCAGAATGTGAGGGTTCTCGCTGCGCAGCAGATAAGGCAGGCAAGTCTTTGATCTGTGGAGTTTGATCAGCGCGGTTAGATTGGTTGACAGATTAGGCTCCCATCTCGCCCCTTACACTAGGAAAGTACCCCTGGCGTTGATGTTCTGCATGAGATCGTAGCGTTTCATTTCCGTGTCAAGGGTTCCCGTAATGGATATGGCGCTGGCGTTGTTCACCACGATGTCGATGCCACCGAACTTGGCCACCGCCGCCTCTACGGCTTTCTGCACCTGCCGCTCGTCGCGCACATCGACAATGCAGGGAAGCGCCCGACCTCCGGCCCGTTCGACTAGTTAAGGAACAAGAAGGGTTCAAAGTTCATTGGAGATTCAAAAGTAAGACTCTATTCATGTGGTGGTTAACGACAACTTACTCTCCTCCGCTGCCGTGTATATAGTTCCGGGCAGCTTTGGATGCGGCTCAGCGGTCTTGGCTGCAATGACTATATTGGCTCCATCCCGGGCCGCCTTTAAAGCGATGGCCTTGCCGATTCCACGGGAGGCCCCGGTAATGAACAAGGTCTTTCCTTTCAGTTTTCTGAGGACGAAAAAAAATTGTGAAGCGAATTTCTCCCCTACTGAGCAAGACCTACCCAGAGTTCTTCATGCTGTAGATTCGTAGTCTAACTCCTGTTAGTTCCGAGCTGTATGCTCACATTAATCAGAAAAGTACTTTAATCGCACTCATCAAGTGCTAGATAACAGTGGCGAAACATTTTAGGACCCGTTTACACTTACCTTAAAGCCTAGTACTCAGATCAACAAACGAGTACGCTTGCGTAAAAACTTTAATCTTTTCAGTGTGACCAAAATTTCGAGAGTTCATCAGAATTAAGCGTGCTACGGTCATACTGTCAGTCAGCTGGGTTTGTTGAGAAGCAGTTAAAATTCAAATATCGTATTTGCGGGAAAGAGCCTTTAAAAGATATTATCAATTACCTTGGCAAGACAACTATGCCGCTATACAAAGAAATTAAAAAACAATACAATTTAAATTTAACAGTTGTTTTTTTTAATTTAGTGATAATTATTTGCTAATTTAAAGTTCATAGCTGCACTTTTATTGTGTTTTTTCCTACATTCTGGACCTAAAAAACATTTTGCTCTGACAAGAGGCACTCTAGATAGTATTAATGTTATTTTGTCCTCACATGTAAGCTCCTGCAATCGACTTTTGCGTTTTTTTTAATTTTTTCCCTCCATTTTTTAAAATGTTCAGTGAGAAGCGCAATATGCAATATTCTGGTATTTTTTTCGTCGATCTGAGGACCGAGGTGAAAAAAAACGTTGACGAAAAGTGATCGCCAGCTGTTTGCCTCTCGATCTCTCTCATGACTGTCGTTCAGTTTTCGTCGATCTGAGTACTAGGCTTTAGTGTAAACGGCCATTAATTTATTGCATTAGCTCTAATATCGATAAGAATATCGCGTATAAGCGGATTTACACTTATACCCACTTCCCAAGAGTCCAAACTCTCGAAACGGTTGGAATTTTTGACAAATGTGAAACTCCGATTTCCACAGAGTACATCAACCATCCATCGGAACGGCCGGGATCGGCCGACTATATCCTATAGCTGCCATATAACTGATTGATCGGAAATGTCATAGCTTTGGTGTTTTTAAAGTTAGGAAGTTGGGATTTTCTATGGGTATTATTTTTGGAGTTTATAGAGTCCTTCACAGAGCGTGTGGCGTGTATGTAGAGGTTGTTTGAATTATGTTTCTGGAAATATTTATTAAATCCTTTACAGAACATGTGCCAAGATATTTATATATAATATATCAAAAGATATTTTGAAGACTGACTTTTAGAGAAGTTTCAATCAATTTCTATCTGCAGTTTTTTGTAATCACAATTTGTTAAGTGAATAGCCATAGAGAATCCTCTATTTTTATTTGATATTTAAATAATTAGAAGCTGTATTCTAATATATAAACTTTTGAATATTAATAACATTCCTTGCTGTTATGTATACCCTTGCAGAGGGTATTATAATTTTGGTCAAAAGTGTGCAACGCAGTGAAGGAGAGATCTTCAACCCTATAAAGTATATATATTCTTGATCAGGATCACCTCCTCAGTTGATATAAGCATGTCCATCTGTTCGTCTGTCTGTTTCTACGCAAACTAGTCTTTCAGTTTCGAAGATATCGAATTGAAACTTTGCACACATTCTTCTTTCCTTTGCACGCAGTCGGATCGGCCGGGATCGGGCGACTATATCCTATAGTTGCAATGTTGCGATTTATTTTCGTTTATGCTTATATTCCACCAGTTCGTCTACTCGCTGTTCAGGTCCAAGAAGCTCTGGGTAATTCTGGACGCCTCGATTCGACACAGAGAGTTTGCAATGAAGGCTGTGTCGTCAGCATACGTTGCCAGGAGGGTACCCGGATCTCTGGGATTTGGCCAGTCAGAGGTGTAAAGGGTGTACAGCACGGGCCTAAAACACTACCTTGTGTTACGCCAGCTCGTATGCATCTGATAGATGATCTATCGCCTCTCACTTCAACCATAAAGCTTCCATCCAGCAGATAACAGCTGCGCAGTTGGCAAGAGAGTCTTCAGCTTAAATAGCAAGCCATCGTGCCACACTCTATCGAAAGCTTCCTTTACATCCAAGAAGATAGCAGAGCTGTACTGTCTATTCTCGAAGGCATTCCAAATATGATGAGTAACTCTGTGCGCTTCTTCCGGGGTTCCATGGTGATTCCTGAAGCCGAACTCGTGGTTTGGAATTGCATCCTTAACACTTCTTACTTATTGGTTGGTACGACGCAACAAGGTTCTCCGGCTTATCAGCTTCGGTATCATCGATATCACTGCGCTCTTCCATTGTGTGGGGAAGTGGTGGATACGTAACAGTTATAAGTACCTCAGAAACTGAACGCCTAGAACTTTCGAAACAAAGAGAGATGGAAAATCAACACCAAAAATAGCACTACCATGGATAAACGAAACAAAATATAAAATCGGAGCGCCGAAAAAAAACCGTTCACTTTGAAAGTCAATGATTTCAAATGTGCTCTGGCGAGCACAGTTGGTCGGGAGCGCCTTCACAACTCTTGGGAATTCGATTTCCAACTATGGCAACAAATATTAGCATCTCCATAGCTTATTTTTTCAAAAAATGTTGACTATGACTAATCTCTTTTTACTTTTGCCGCTTAGTATATTGTTATAATAGTTTATAAGGTTTTTCACATTTTGGGTGTTTACAAATGATCTAAGAATATAAGCAGTTGCTTAAAAAAACTAAAATAAAACATCAAAATGATTGCTTTAGCGCGGAGGAACAGTTAATTGCCAACTCCCTCTTCATTTAATCATTCTGAAATCTATAAGCAGTAAAAGACAGGGGCTTTTTATTCTGCAATGAAAGTAAATGTTAAGTTTAATATGAAATATAAAACTTGAGTTATTTACCATGAACAATTGAGTTCTTTCGTTATGAAATTGCTAATCTGAAATACTTGAGAGATAACCTTTTGACTTTATCTTTTATTTTAAATTGACTTTTTTGCAGTCCGTTAGAAATATCCAATTGAATTTATTCATTCAACTCTTTTCATCGACGGGCTCTATGTGATACCTCAAGTTTGTTGAGGTATTGTTCTTCTTTTTGGCAGCTTTCTTTTATTGTTGACAGATGTTTTTTACATTTCTATTAAAATAGATTTTTTTCAAGGAGCAGGCTCTTTCAGCATCGCCTTTATTAACTAACCATGAGTTAGAAGGGAACAAGAATATTCCGGATGCTTTAGGTCAACTTTCCGACCCACGGATTTTGGAAAATTCTTCAATTTTTCGGATGTACCTTCCTAGCTTAAAGTCCTTTATTTGCACTGAGCTTTAATTTCTCACTAAAAGCAACTATTTTTTTAAATTTTTTGCGTATTAAATTTTTAGATAGTTTGTATGATATCGTCACATTTTTATAAAAATAAAACCGTAATTCTGATATGTTGCTATGTCACTATGTGTTGTGATGACTCTGCCTAGAAGGACGTATCTCTAAGACAGGAGCCCGTGTACCAAAATTTTGGAAAAAATTAAGTTTGTAAAGTTTGGCCACCGAGTCGATGAAAACGGTGCAGCGGACTTACGTATGAAAAGTGCGTTCGCCGATAGGAACAAGCTTCCCCTGCTGAAGCGGTTTTAAGCTGGACTTTGGCCCGGATTATTACCAGGAAAGGAAAGAATATGAACGACGAAGGTGAGGCACTCGAGCATGCGAAATTTCGTTAAGCAACTAAAGAAATGTACCCAAGCACCCTCATCAGCCTGACTAAATACGCCACAAACCCTTTGCACCCTTTACGTTCTGTCGAAATAAATAGATCAAATTCAGATGAAAAATGTCGTTATTAACAGGTATTGAGAGATGTAAAATACTTTATTATAAGCTATTATTCTATAAATCATTTCTCACAACAAGAAAAGCAAAGTTATGTTGGGATTATATAATATTATATATTATATATATCATTACTTTAATAGAAATCCAACCTAACCTAACTTTTTCCCGTAGTTCCCTATGTAATTTATACGCGAATACAAGTCCCGAGCCGGCCACTATCCTAGCCTTATCATTCCTCGTAGTCTCCCGGAGTAGCATCTTCGGGTCTGTACGTGGACGCCGTCCCAGTCAGTCCACCAAGTAGCTTCTTTGGTTCTATACACGGTCCCCCGTCCCGACCAGCCCACCAACTTAACCTTACTTTTCCTCGTAGTCTCCGTTGTAGCTCCGTTTGGTCTGTACACGAACCCCCGCTGATTTTGGTCCCCCATTCAGCTAACAACGATGTTTTTAAGGATTCTTTGAAAGAATCCTTGTGCTTCCTGATTCTCTTCTCAAGGATGTCCCATACATGTTTTATGAAATGCAAGTCTGGTGATTAAGGAGGTGTTTTTAGCTGCTTGCAGCCACATAACAGCCGCTTTTGCACCAAATACAAAGAATGTTTTTGGTCGTTGTCTTGTTTAAACAAGAAAGTCTTTGGACCTTTCCCAAATTTTGAAACGCTCGGAAACAAATTTTTTACTTAAAATATTTTTGTACGTTATCTTATTCATCTTATCATCAATGAAGACCATTTGGCCAACTATACCCGCACCTACACACCCCCAAACCATTAAATTTCTGTCACCATGCTTTACCGTTGGGTTCAAGTTCTTCTCCTTCATGGCTTCATTTGCTATTTATACCCGTTACTCGTAGAGTAAAAGGGTATATTGTATTCGTGCAAAAGTAGGTAACAGCTAGAAGGAAGCGTTTCCGACCCTATAAAGTATATATATTCTTGTTCAGGATCACTAGCCGAGTCGATCTAGCCATGTCCGTCTGTCCGTCCGTATGAACGCTGAGATCTCGGAAACTATAAAAGCTAGAAGATTGGCATTTTGCATGCAGATTCTAGGAGTTCCTACGCTTCAAAAAGGTGCCACGCCCCCTTTAACGCCCACAATCGCCTATATACGATTTTAAAAATTTAAATATTTCGAAAAGTAAAAATGCAGTTTTGTTGTGTTTATCAGTACCTATCGAAATGTAGAAGAAATTTTTCAAATCGGACCATTCGTTAAAAAGTTATACGTGATCAAAGTTTCTATCTCCATCTCCCTCGCACTCCCTTTACCTGAGTAACGGGTATCTGATAGTCGGGGCACCCGACTATAGCGTTCTCTCTTGTCTCCATTTTGATTCGTCAGTAAAAACCACGGTCTCTC